CCCCCCCCCCCTCTCTATATCTTTCTCTCTCTATCTGTCTCTCGCTCTCTCCCTCAGTCTCGGGTGCTCTGTACGTCCTTGTCTTCTTCTCTCCTATCAAGCCGGTGTCTGTTTGAACCTGGACCGTTCACTCTCTCTCTCTCTCTCTTCCTCCCCCTCTCTCCCTCTCTGTCTCTCTCTGTCTCTCCTCTGTCCCTCCCGTGTCACACACCCAGCTAATGACAGGCAGCGGGTTCGGTAGCCTGTCGGTGCGCTCCGGTGCGCCAGGCGCTTCTCCGCTCTGCGCGCTCACTCAGCGTACGCGGAGGCTGCCCGTCTGATTGGCTCGCGTGTGTGCGTGTGTGTGTGTGTCTGCGGGGAGAGAGACGGCGACACGGCGGCTTTATATATTTTACATTAAAGTTAATTTGAGGCAAGGCGATAAAACCTGACATGGAGTGATTTTCCTCCACGGAACGAACTCGGCCAGTGAAAGAATATTTGATGGCGATCCAAGGTGCTTTTGACAGACGTGGCCGCACCTTTGCATCTGAGTCCAGGTGTGTTTTCATACATTATGTGCAACGATGTAGCTGCCACTACAATCGGCACAACGTCAAGATCACCGTATAGGCAGAGGAAAAACAGGACAAATCCAAATAATACAATACAATAATACCATTGGGGGCTGAATTCCATTTAGCTACTCCAGTTTCCAGGGCCTGACATTGTGCAAACAGCCCAGTACAGATAATACATAGTATTTAAGCATTATAGTAGTAAATTGTAAAGTATATATCTCTTCATATTTCTCTAAATTGTTTTAATGCTGTATTGGCATGGTTTTATTTGTATTATTACTTACAATAATAATAATATAACATTTCTAAGACATTACATTTTATTTCGTAGATATTGTTAATAATAATTGTGTTATTATAGACTTTTTGTAATTATGTCAATAATAACAAAATAAAATATAGATAACAGTAATACTAAAAATACACGGTGACGTGTTTTACGTGATTTCTTGTAGTCGTAATAACTACCCCTCATATACATACACATTTGTTTCTGTTGTCGTTTCGGCATAGGCGACACAAACTCCAAGTGCCAACATAAGAAACACAAACTCTGGCGCGGAGTTTGTGTTCAACCTCAGAGCACCTGCGATGACAGGCATGTCACCAAGAGATGCGGTCGCATATAAATGTCATCGTTGGGTTCCGAATTTCTCCCGTCCGTGTTCCAGGTCGTATCATTAGAAATGCATTTTAATTTCATGAGTGAAAAAACAGCCACCAGCCTGATACGATTCTGTCGGTCCCCGTCGGTCTTTCGGTCTCTCTTTTGCTTTTTTTTTTTTTTCTTACTCTCCCTCCAATTGCCTGCTCTCTGCTGGGGTTGTGGATTGACTTTTTTAAAAAAAAAAGAAGTGAGGGTGGCGCGACGGGGGTGAGACGCTGCGCAGGGAGCCGGGATGGCACGCGGGGACTCCGCTGAACCGTCGGGGAGAGAGAAGGGGGAGACGGATCGAGAATGTAATTTTAAATGAAAGTCTATTTAACCCGCTGTGAATGGCATGACCCTTATCCTCGCCTCAGAGCCCATCACTGTTAAAAGGATCATTTTCAGAATTCAATCCAGAAACTTCAGCAAGCAGCAATTTTCTCTCTCTCTCACTTTCTGTCTGTCTCTCTTTTGCTCTTCCTACAGAGCATCGCAGCAAACGAAAAAATAACAATAAAATATATGGTCAGAAAATTGCACAAGTTGTTCTTGTTTCTCTTGTATCTGTTTTAACCAGCAGCCGTATGACCTTTTTGTGATTGAAACTGGAATGAGACGCTATTGATCTGTTTAGTTAAGGTGCAGGCGGTTAGATTTGTTTAGGTAAACCCATCTATTCTAGTTTTTTCCCCTTTAGAAATACTGCATTTATACTTAACCGTTTGTGTAAATAAAGAACAAGTTTGTCAAAACAATACAAAGGCAATAGTATAATCGAGTTCTATTGCTCTGCACACTGACACCCACAGATTGGTGTCAGATTGTCAGATTCTACCTATCCGAAACTTTTTGGTGTCGCAAACTTCCCAGCTTGTTTATTTGCACGCATATCAATGTAATGAGTGTAATAACAATATAAAATGTTGTGCCTTTCCCGCGCGGTCACAAACAGACGCGCGTAATACAGACGGGTATTTAGAATCGCTCTGTAATTTGGGGGCCACAATTTGATTCATTTATCCGCACACTATTATTAACCCTGTGGAAAAAGAGATGTCAGCCGCCATTTCAGCCAGCAGGACATCCGCGCTTTGTTTAAATGCACTAATTACGCGCATGCATTAGAGGGGGACGGAATAGTCTGAGCGCAATTTTCACTTTTCCGTCTCTTTGACGTGCAGGTGAAGCGATGGCGCAGATGGCCCTCCTTTTCGGCATCACTTAACCGCCGCTTCCCGTGTATTTGCATAGCTCCCTACCTTGTAATATCCAGGGGGATTTCTTTTTTTGGGGGGGGGTTGTACACCTTAACATATTCCTATTTCTGACATTAAGTCAGAGGGAGGCTTCACGTTTGATCAGCCCTCTGATGCTGCTCCCTCTCGCCTCTCAGGTCTCGGCCTCTAAACTGGAGGCGACGGAAGTGATCCCGCAGGTTCGATCGTTTAAAGACCAGCAACATGTCTGCCTTTGCCTTGCTGGCCATTCGGCTGGCGCCATCTCCTGGATCGAACAGCAAACGAATAACGTCTTCCAACGAAAGACGAGCCCCCCTCTCTACCCCCCCCCTCCACAGCCACACAAGCGACGTGTACCCTGCATGTATGTTCCCATCCTATTTATTTTATACCTCAAGTAAGTCCCACTCATGCAAATACTGGTTCCTAATGTGCATCCACGGGCTCGTGGCCTTGGGTGACGACTCATCCTTCATCCATCCACGCGCTCTGACATAATTGGACACTTGCTTGCCTCGAGAGGCCAAGAAGAGAAAGGAGGGAGAAAGAGAGGGAGACGCGGAGAGAGTGTGCTGGGAGGAGGGAGGAGGGGGGGGGGGCTTGTAAGGCGCGCGTAAGCAAAGTTAATTAGCGGTTATTAACAGCCCGCATAATGAGAGCGAGAGGGAGTCAATTTAATGACTTTGTTAGCGCGAGTTCAGAGCGACAGGCGATGATCGAAACAACAAAGGCGAGCGTGCGCGCAGCCATCATCCGTAATTTCCAGCGGTAATGCGGTCTGATCAGAAACAAAGGGTTCTAATTTCGCTCAACTGACTCGATAATTTGTCCTTATGTAAGGAAAATAATTAATGACTAAATGCTTCAACAGAAGTAGCCTTCTTCTAGGGAAGGGGGGTGTGGGGAGGGAGAGGAGGGGGGGTCGGAGGCCTTGAGAAGGTCGCAAGGAAATCAATTTCCAGGCCTATAATTATTTACATCACGAATTTAAAACGTGGACGTGTGCCTCCGTGTGCAGACGAGGGAGACTCTGCTGGAAGAACGGAGAAGGAGTCTCCAAATTTTGTGTGGCAACAAATCAGCCGCTTGTCATAAGAGACACGATGAAGGGAATGCAGGACCGTTACGCCACACAGCGCAGTAGAATCAAACCCCAAAGATACATATCATGTGTGAGATTACCCAGGCAATGGCTGCTCATGCCTTCGGGGAGCTCTGCTCAATTGACGGCCCTCCAAGTCCGTATGCCTGTTGCCGACAATGTGCCAGGTTATTGTGGCTACTTGGCAAAATTATCCAAGCCGTGCGCGTCTTTACGCGCGGCTTGAGTGGCTGAGTCGGAGGACAGATGTGAGCGCTATTATCGATTGTGGGAATATGAGCCGCTTGCTGGCCACTCCTGGATTCATGGCGGGATGGGAGAGGGGGGGGGGTAGGTCACCCACACAAGAGAAGCAATTTCACGGCCCCCATTGTCTCCCCTGATTACTGCTTTGATCGCAGAAATCAAGAGCCCGAGACTCTCGCAAAGCCGCTATACGGAGTCCAGGAGCTCGCGAGCTGAATAGGTCATCATCATCATCTGACACATCACCGCCATCACCATCATAACCATCATCATCGTCGCTGTAGTTGACCATACAAACCTGGGGCGCGGTGTGTTTTCACAGCCGCGTTGCCCTTTTATTGATTGCGTGCCTTAATTTTAATTCGATTGCGCGAGTGTCAAAAATTCAGCAAGAATCATCCTAGTAATGAGATAATCAAAGTAATGTATGCAAATCAGTTATGTTGCCAGCTTATCAAAACCCGAGTGCCCCCCCTCGAGTCTGAAGAAGTCCATTTATTCAGTTAGTGGCAATACCTTGCGCAAATGGCGCGATGCAAATGACAGTTGATTAGACTAAATTAAGAACCTCGTTTGTCCCTGACCTTGTCTGAGTTTTATGTAAATTACTTTTTTTTTCTTTGCTTTAATGTGATACAAAAAAAAGAATTATTTACATCCTGGCTTTTATAAATCTGAACAATATCCTCCATGAAACTGGTCAGCCTCAAATAACTCTGTAATATCTCTGTGTCAGTAGCTTGGACGATTGTCCCTCTCTGCCTGTCTGTCTCCCACAAATTTCAGTATACCTTGACCCCGGGGCAACTCCCACAGGGACACAGAGTGTGCCGTTATAACTTCCTTGCTGTGGGGGAGTGTGCCTTGAAAATAGACCAGGTCTGTGTAGATCTGAGTGTGTGCGTATGCGGGTACCATAACATATTGTCTTAGGGGGGGCGGGGAGCGCAGCTGGGACTTCCTCTCTGTGGGGTGTGTGGGGCCTGTAGATGGGAAAGGAATAAATCCAATAGAGATTGCAGGGCTGCGGTGCCTCCCGCTGGGGACCCTCAGACTTGCAGGCCAGGATCGAAGTGCTTTTCTCCCCCTAAATTGGCCTGAGAG